ATGCTCCATCCCTGGCAGTGTTCAAGACCAGGTTGTATGAAGCCTTGGTTGATATGGTTTAGTGTGAGGTGTCCCTGCCCATGGCAGGGGGTTGGAACTTGATGATCTTAAGGTCCTTTCCAACCCTAACTATTCTATGATTCTGTTAAATTAACAAATTAAGTGCAATATTCTGTAAGCTCAAATCTTTGCTTTTAGGGCTCCAGGACCAAAAGGATTTTAAGCCATAAGTTGTGTGAAACAAATCATGGTTTGCTGCTTTGTGTGGTCTATTTCTGCCCTCTAAATAAGAACAAAACAGGCAGACCTGACATCAGTACACTCACAGGACCCATCTGAACAGCCAAAATCCACTGTGGCAGACTTACCAGCAAGTATTTGTTTAAACTGGGCTAAATCAGCCTGAAGATTTGGATGATTACTTTGCATTCATCTAACCCCTTCCTGTTTTTCATGCAGCAGAGCAATATGAATAATCAAAACTAAAATGGAGAGAAAATATTTCCGTTAATTTGAGTGGGCCTAGAAGTTTGTTACTGTTTTCTGGTTGCTTCAAGTAAAACACCTGTAAGCTCTGATAGTGGTTTAAGAGCCATGGTGTGGCTTGTAAATCTGCTTTATTATTTTTAAGGAAAAGAAAATACAGTAATATCCAGCAGTAGCCCAGTCCTTTGTGTGTCTGCCCCTTTCCAGTCTTCCTGTGTGTGAGTCTACGCTGGCTTTTTGTTCTGATCAGAAAAGCACTTCTGAAGCAAGTCTGATCATCTCAGCTCATTGCACCTTGATTCATATTGAAAGCTGTCTCAGTGCTTGCAAACTGGAATCCTTGTGCATGAATCTTGACTGGAGAACACAGCGTAGCCACTGATAGTACCCACTTCCTGAGACCTGACTAGAGTTAGTCTGAAGTAAATCCCTAAGAGATGGATGGTGAGGGTATCAGCCTCAATACAGGTGTCCTCTGCAGACCTGCTCTCTGTTCACTGCAGTGCTTGTGGTGATGCCCACTACGTTCTTGTCCAGGACTTGGTTTCTCCTGGTGGTTTTAATGAATCAGGTTGTTCACTGCTGTCAGCTTGGTCGTAATCATATTTACTGATTGATGTCAGCATTGACTAAAAATGCAATGGGAAACAGCAGAGTGACATGGAAAGCTCTGAGCAGGATATTGTCATAGGGGAATCAGTTGTATGTATAGAAGAAACAATCAACAAAAGTATATGGCAGAAAGGTCATTTCACCTCGGTCTGTGTTCTCTTTAGTGTGGTCTGAGCTTTTGACGCAATTGGGTATTCAAGTCATTACAGAAAGTCATTAGATTCGACAAAGACAGGTGTTAGAGACTTCGTGAAATGACTCTGAAACCCAGAGATAGTGCAGTTAATGAAAATAGGATTTCAGAAAAGATGAACTATCAGCAATTAGAAGAATGTGTGTGTAGGGATGGGATACTGTTCTGTGCAGGTTTCTTTGCTCTTTGAAGCACCTGGTATCACATGAATCATGGACCTGCTCCACTGTGGCTGTTGTCATGGTCTTGACTGAGATAATTTTCTTCCTCCTGGCTGCTGCAGTGCTGTGGTTTTGGATTTAGTATGAGAATAATGTTGATAACAAACTGATATTTCGGTTGTTGCTAAGTACTAGAACATTTCTCAGTTTCCCATGCTCTGACAGTGAAGAGGTACATGAGAAGCTGGGACTGAGCACAGCCAAGACAATTGATGCAGACTAGCCAAAGGGGTATTCCAATACTCCATATTATAGAATGGCATACTCAGGATATCAACTGGAGGGCTGGCTGCAGGGTGACGAGTGGTAATTGCTGCTTGGGGACGGGCTGGAGATCAGTCAGTGGGTGGTGAGCAGTTGTACTGTGCATTGCCTGTCTGTCTTGGGTTTTATTCCTCTCTCTTTTTGTTGTCTCCCTTTCCATTACAATTATATTATTGTTTTCTTCCAATTATTAAACTGTTCTTATCTCGACCCATGGGTTTTACCTTTATTCTGATTCTCCTCCCATCCCACCATTGTTGGGGTGTGTGAGTAGCTGCGTGGTCCTTAGTTGCCAGCTGGAATTAAACCATGACACTGTTCATATTTGCCTTGATAGCTAGAATCCTGGTGGTGTGGAAAGGGAGCCTGAGCTACAGAGAAGCATTTCATGATTCACCTGTCTTTTTTTATAACACATACCTGTTGCAGCAGTTGGGCTGTGCAGTATCTGTACTCTGCCTCCCAAAAACTGGTGTCACTGATTTGGAAAAAACTATGGTAAAATGGGAGACTTTGCAGAGCTGCAATTTTGGTACCCATATGAAATGTACCATATTGTTCACTTCTAATGTTGGTTAATGTGTTAGAAGGCCTCAGTGAAATATTTACCGAGTGTCACCTTCTGAGCTTAGAAATAGCTGAGCAGATTTTAATGAAAATCCTTGACCTGTCTGCCTCACACTTGCGTTCACTTTCAGTTTGCTTAGTTTATTTTGGAGCTAGGACCCAGGAGAAGCCAAACCCTGCATATTCTGTTCTCTTAGGATCCAAGAAGCTACTACAAAGTTGAAATAACCAGTGAGAAAATCAAGCTTTCTATCCCCTTTCTAAATGAACTATTAACCAGGGAGAGTAAGTGCTTTGCTTGAAGTGAACACAGCTAATTTAAATCTCAGCAGTTGTGGAACAATTTTGTATGTTGTCTTAGTGATAACTCTTGGCTCATCTGGATATTAATTTATATGCAATGTCCTTGAAAAGACTTATCCTGAAAAAATCTGAAAACCTGACTGTGGTTTGAGTTAAAACCCCCTCAGGTTTCTAAGACCAGTGTTGTGAAACTCAGCATTTTAGGTAAGGAAGAATAAAAACATTCAGAGGAGGACGTGTTGCAAGCCAGAGGCAATAATAGGTGGTGTTTGCAGTCCTCAGATTTCATAGTTCTGTACTTGGTTATCTTCTTTTTCTCAATCGTGTAGCACATTAAAAAGTGAGTGCCTTCTGGATAGCCAAATTTAGCACTGAGGTGTTCAAAACAACATGTGGGAACTTGGGGATCGCTTTTATGGAGCCGTATGCAAATGATGTTTTTTCTGCCAACAGTTTTCTGACATCAGTTTTGTGCATCATTTGTTCTTTTAATAACAACCTTTTTGTTGTTTTTCTCCCACCTAGCTTCTTCCCTTCATTTGCATGTGCGTTGGAATGGTGGTTGTTTTAATCATTGCAGGAGTTAAACCGACGTCCCACAAACATGGCAGATGAGGACCTTATTTTTCGTATGGAAGGGATTGATAATGCCAGATCAACTACAGCCAACTCTGGGAATTATCTTGATGCTGATAGTGATGATGAAGACAGTTATTTTATCTGCCCAATAACTGATGATCCAGTTTCTAACAAGTCTGCCAGTATCAAAGTTGACAATTATTATAGCAACTTAGCAAAAACTGAACAATACAGTTCAAGCTCTTCTAGAAACTCATTTAGCTTTAAGGTAAGTGTTTGCTTCAGCTTTCGAGAAGGTTTTGGTTTTACTCAGTTGGCATGAGAGATTCTCTTAACTGCTTCATCTCTTGCAACTAACACTTTTCAATGAAAAAATGGTGTTTTTTCCAGACTTGCAGTTAACTCCATTAAGCCAATAGTCTGACACTGCCATTGAATTGCTTACTGCCCCTTTTAGTTCACTGGGAAGTCTTAATCTGCAAAGATAGCAGAACCCAGGTGAACAATTAACTGCCATTATGATCAAACCATTTAAAAAAGCAATACATTAATTGGGAGATTTGAAAGATTATACTTGTTGTAAGCCGAATTGGGGCCTGTCAGAAGATACTTTATTGCCTCTGCTTTCAAAATACATAATAATCCATAATATTTTTATTTGAACATATACAATTGTAATGGTAGATTTTTAGGTTATAGTCACTGCCCAGGGAGCTTTTAATAATGGGCATGAAGTGTCACACTGGCAGTAGTTTCTGACAGTGTACTCAAGCAGCAGCTGCCCTTTTTGAAATTAACAGTAATCAAAGCATTGCAGAGAGGTCAAAGGGGCTGTAGCTGGTGCTTCTGTGGCAGTGTCCTGTTCCACTTGGCACCATTTGCACAGATCAGGCCAGGCAATGGAGCCTCAAGGATGCAAATGACATTCACTCTATAGGTTAGATATTACAAATATGCACCCTTTGTGATAAAGGAGCATGTCTCTTAGATTTTGTCTAGACTAGGATTTAATGTGTTGTATTAACACATTTCTTTTTGTAAATATTAACATTTATTTAGTAGGTAGTGTAAAACCTTGGTCATGCCTAATGCATGCTTTATTCCTGGAAAGATACCAAAGGGTTTATTTCAGAACATACACCTGGAACAAGTCCAGAGGAGATCACAAAGATGCTCAGAGGGCTGGAGGACCTCTGCTATCAAGACAGGCTGAGAGAGGTGGGATTGTTCAGCCTGAAGAAGAGAAGGCTCCATGGAGACCTTAGGGCAGCTTCCAGTGGCTAAAGGGCCTGAGAAGAAAGCTTGGAGAGGGACTGTTACTGTTTACAAGGGCAGGTAGTGGTAGGACAAGGTTTTAAACTGAGAGTAGATTTAGATTAGATATTAGGAAGAAATTCTTCCCTGTGAGGGTGGTGAGTCGCTGGCACAGGTTGCCCAGAGAAGCTGTGGCTGCCCCATTCCTGGCAGTGTTTTCAGCCAGCTTGATGGGGACTGGGGCAACCTGGTCTAGTGGAAGGTGGTCCTGCCTGTGGCAGGGGGTTTTAACTGGATGATCTTTTAGGTCCCTTCCACCTCAAGCCATTCTATGATTCAGTCAGCTAGTATTAAGTAGCACATTAAAAGTGAATCTGCCCTGTCTACAGTAAGATTTTTGCCAAGGCCCTAAGGAAGGTGAAGAGTAAAAGTTTAGACATAGACAAGGGGACAGATTTTAGTATATCCTATGCTAAGCAAGTTAAGACCTGATAGGGAGCTTAGTCTTCATTTATATGTGTTTAAGCATGTACTAAACACTTGCCTTTGGGTTTGCAGTGTGAGTTCTGAGTCATGCGGCCTGAGGTAAAACTGATAAGGACTTAAGATATTGCAGTTATTTCCTCCTTCCTAAGATACCATGTTGTTTTTGCAGAATATATGTGCCCATGCTTTTATCTAGTTGGGCATTTTAGCTCCTGTCACAGGTAAGATGCATGGGGTTGAGATGAGGAGCAAGCAAGGCTCCATCTGCTGCTTAAGCTGCAGAAATGGTGACTTCCAACGCAGTGAAGCAGCCAGGACTGGTAACAACTTAAACCACCACAGTGTGACCTGATCAGTCTGCCTGTTAGACCCCAAAGCTAAATATGGACCACTGATAATGAGATGCAGACAGATACAAGAGTTGTTACTAATTCTGCCTCTGAGCAGGACTCAGTAATTAATTCATTCATAGGCAAGACCCTTTTAACATATTAAAATGAAAAAAGGATGTTTCAAATTAAAACATTTTCAACTTTCCTTGATAGGTTTGTTCCCAGATGTGAACAATCTATGAATATGTGAATATAAATTGAAGAGTGGCTTTTCAGTTGAAGAACTTTTCCTTATTTTGCTTTAATTAATGAAGAGAACATAGGTTCTTTGTCAATCATTTGTCTTACCACCTGTGTTTTCCTACTTTTATGTTTCTCATGCATCCTTTAGAATGACACACAGCATCGTTCTAAGCATGGCTCTGTGGTTGACCATAGTCGGGTAGGTTAAAAAGAAATGTGAACATGTATCTATCTAACAGATGCATTAAGGTTTTTTGGCTTGCTTTTCTTTTTATGTCCTTTTTTAGTTTGTTATTTTGTTGTCTGGGAGAACTGCTTGTCTCAGCCCATAAAAGTCATCAAATCAAAACTAAAAAAGGTATCTGTTAAATGAAATAATACTCATCTTTTGTTCTGTACCCTGAAAGATCACTTTTAAAGTGCGTATCTGTAGTTGCTCCTGGACAGTATTTCCTACTGTGGACAAAAATGAATGCAAGACATCTAATTAGTATGGCAGCCATATGCCTTACAGCAGGAGAAAATTGCACTGTTAGCCCGATGTCCATGAAGTCCATCTTCTGTTTGAAGATTAAAATACAGCTTTTGTACAAAGCACCTCACAAGATCAAAGAGAAGTAATTAATTTATTTAAATCATTCCCTAGCATGGACTCAGATCACCTTTGGAGAGGGACACTACTCAAGAATGATTTGACATAAATAATTGACCAAGCAATTCTACTTGTTTCTCTATTTCTTTCACATATGTTCAAGTATGGAAGTTCCCAAGTCCATACGAAATGTGAATCATCACATGATCTGAGGCAACTTCATTTTCTCATGGATCATATAGGAAATATTTCTCAGCATGTTTTGTTAAAACTTTATTGTAGTGTTGTATTCATTTTCTGGCTTTATTGTCAGAAAGGGGAACATTTAAATTGTTTGCAAGGTATGCAAAATTACAGCAGAAATAAAAATAAGTGAACAGTTTAAAAGTTCAGTTGCTTCAAAAACTTCCTTGATGTAATTGCTGACACCAGTTTATACTGTACTTTTTAAGTTTTGAATGAGATTTAAATAAAGATTGTTTCTGCATACTTAAAACTCAGAGGCAGTGATAAGACGTCAGAGCTCAGTATTTCTTTACTGGCAGAGGTGCAGAGTAGCCTTTTCTCCTGCTCACCTTTGCAAAAGACATTTGGCATATCACAGGATCATATCTCCTGCTCTCTTGGAGCAGTCCAATGTAAAAAGAGGAAGATCACGATGTTAACAGAAAAGGACCTAAATTGGCTGGTAGAGAAAGACTATTTATATTCCAGAAAACTACTTTGATTATTTACTGCTGACTTGGTAGACATTGAAATAGCTACTTGTCTGGAATTGCTATAATAACCCAATATTACAGCATTCTCATTTCTTGTTTCTTATGCTGAGCACAGTCTGGGGGCCTTGGGATTTACAGAACTTTGTCCATATTGTTCTGATGCTGATGGACATTCTATGCTTACACATATGCGTAACATACACTTCTACCCAACAGCATGTACTGTTAATTACAATAAGGTTAAAAATCAAACCAGCAAAAGTGAATTAATATCGTCTAGATGTACCTTATCACTGCTTGTAGTATATGTTAGAGATATTTGCAAATTATATTTGGTGTATACTAGATCAGATTCTCTTCACAGTAACTTTACTGCAGTGCAAATTTAACTGAAACCCAATGCTTTGGATTTCTGAACTGCTTCATTATACTTGAAGCTATAAAATGGGAGTGGTTTCTGTACCACTTGGTCCCCGAGTAGTGCTTTGGGGGCTCATGTGGTTGCACATCTCCGTAGCATTGGGATCCTGATGTGTTGTAGAAAATGTTTTTGTTGTGAGTTGCTGCTGATTATTAATAACATGCCAGTTTGTAACTTCTTCAGGAAGCCTGGAAACATGCTATTGAGAAAGCTAAGCACATGCCTGATCCGTGGGCAGAATTTCATCTTGAGGACATTGAGACAGAGCATGCCACTCGTTACAGGTCTGTGGGTCTTTCTGCTTTTAGTGCTGATGTTAAACAGAATGTGCTGGTTTATGCAAGGGCTGTGTTTGTGTAGTGCAGAATATGTGTAATTATGTGGCTGGAGAACTTGTGGTAATACTCAGAGTAAGTGCGTCTCAAGTGAATCTCCCAGGAAAACGTCGATACTGCACATCATAAAAAAAGAAACCTTACAGCAAACCGGTGTCACACGGTCTTACTCTCCTACCTAAGTAATATCTGATTTGCCACAATGTAGACAGGAAACAAGGCTGAGAAGTATTTTCTAGTTGATTTATTATTGCTGAAAACTTAGTCTAATAAGGAAATGAATCCCAATAAAAAGCAGCATACTTAGCTTAAATAGTTTAGAAAAAAACCCAACCTAACACTCTGTGCCTTTCCTAAAATAGCAGTTTCACTGTTGCCTGTCCATGCAGTATTGCTGCATGTGGCTGGAATTTAAGTTCTTATAAAGCCCAGAATAGCTCAGTATGGTGTACGTGCTGAAACTGAGTTTGGCCCTGAAACTATGCTTAGTGCTTTAGCACAGGCTTTGCCAAAACATTCACCCTGCTGACACAGGTTTCTGGTGGAAAGGGTAGGAGTTAGAGGCCAGTTAATTACCACTTAGTGTCAGTGTTTGGGAAGGCCTCCCTTCCAATCATATAACACTGTCACACAGTGCTCCTCTTCCCCATAGGCTGTATCTGTCCCTGGTCAGCCACACAGTCCTGAAATAGTTTGCATATTTTAAAATACAAATAAGTGATAATACTGGTTTCGGGCTACTCAAATAATCTATTAAAATGGCTCTGATATTATTTCATGTCTTTTGTCTGCTGCAAACAGGGGTGATACAGAATATATAAAGGGGGTATATGGGGTGTCTGCATGTGTGAAGTACTTGATACAGGTTGGGGGAATCAGTCTGGAAAGTCATTCTGGGGAGTCAACCGCTGTGACTCTCAATTTGGGTTTTACTGTGTGGGGAGAAACCACAGTCATACTCTTTGTATTATCATAGGGTTGTGCAGAGACTTACTCCTCCCTTGGTGCAGTGGTGGGCAGTTCTTGGGCCCAATGCTTTTGACAGCCACAGCTGGTGCTGAGTTCTGCTCACGTCTTCCACAGTCCTGCAGCAGATCCCCAGCCAGAACCAGGTTTATGCAAGCTTAGGGTTTGGGGGCACAACCTGTTCAATTTGTAGGGCTTGGTAAGGCTCTTTCTGTCCCCAGAGTACTGCTGAGGCATCACAGAGGAGATTTAACATCAAAGCAGATAAAGTCTAATTTGCAGTGTTGCAAAAGTTTAGCTTCTGTAGTGGAGTCTGTTCATTGTCAGTAGGGTTTGGTATCTTTTCAAAGAGCTATATGTATTTCTTCTTTTCCATACTAAGTAATGAGGGCAGGAGTGTGGTGGGAAGACTGGAAGTTTTTGTGTTGGAATGGCAGCAGCACTTTTTAGCAGCCAGATGGAGATAAAGAGGGATAGGCACTGAGGATGGGGGGATTTGGGTTCTCTCTGCATTTTTCTAAGAGGCACATCTCTTGATTTTGCAGATACAATGCGGTTACTGGGGACTGGGTTGAAGATGAAGTCCTCATCAAGATGGCTTCACAAGTAAGATCACACAGTCCTTCATATTTATTAGCAGTCAATTTGTCATTTCCTTCCTGTTTCTGAATGGTGGTAGTGAGATGTTTTCCTCATATAGAAGTTTTTAAGTCCTAATGTCATCCTTTCCTCCTACCTCTGTTCTTCCTTGGCTTAGCCATTATGTTTTGGTGTCCCAGCAGAGGACACTGAAACACTTTCTCCCCAGAGTAGGGTAGAACACAGAGTCAGCCCTTCCCTGTCAGCATCATGAGGCATTTGTTCCTTTCCCAGTCATCTCTCTTGCATTTCCTGCTGGCCTCATCTCGCTGCCTGACAATAGTCCTGCTATTTTGTGTGCATCCAGATAATTTCTGCTTTTAGGATGAAAACTGATTGAATTTTCAGTATGGGAGGGTAAAGGCTACTGGTTGTTTCCTAGTTAAATTGTGAAGCTGGTGGTCTGTTGGAGTCACCTCGGTACTGATGTAGGATCTGGCATCTACAGAGGTGATGCTCTTTTTGGCGCATCCTGTATGGAAGCCTAAATACAGAGAATGTGAGGTCTGCAAAGCTAGCTTCTCCAGGCAGGCACAGCAGAGCTGACTCCAAACTGGAGAGAGAATTTAAACAGCTTCTTCAAAGGACATATCATGTCTCTTCCATGAGGTAGTCTTTTCCCCAGATTCCTGCCTATGCTGTTAGTGGGGTTTCACTTTTCTTTGAGGAGTTAGATATTATATAGAGCTTGTTTTGAGAACTGCTTTCTACAGGATATAAAGTGGAAAACACAGTTGTGTGTCTTACTGGTTAGAAATTAACTCTGTGGAAATGCCAATGCTCTATTTGTGTTTTTTTCTCTAGCCTTTTGGTCGTGGAGCAATGCGGGAGTGTTTCAGAACGTAAGTACCTGCTGGCTTTATCTTTGTTGGTCTCTGCAGTATTTTCTTCTGTGGTGACTGGAATTTCATTGAGGTGTGGTGGAAACTGTAAAGTTTGCCTGCCCATTAGGTTTCTGAAAGGCATAGCTGATGGGTTCATTCCTGTTTGTGTGACTCCAGCAGCATCATAGGGAGTGGGCTTCAGAAAGCAGAACGTTCTTTTAAGGGAAGAACAAGCAAGCATGATGCAGCATCCACTGAGCTTGTTTGGGAAAGTCAAGCCGTTGCCTGTAGTGGAACTGTAGTTGGGACACCTAACATGCAGTCATATCCAATTCCAGCAAGTATAATCACCCTGAAAATTAACAATTAATAAATTTATGCTGTTTCCACAATCTCTTGGAGGCAATATACTCATAAAAGTACAGAAGCAGCTACTTCATTTCTGTGTTCCTGGTGTGCTAAAATATGTTTGAATTTGATATGAGGCCAGAGGTGTGTGCAGCCTGAAGGCTAACTTGTAGGCTTATAGTTAAGCAGAGAAAAGGGGAGGGAATAGTTGGATGGTGCAATCTCAACTTAGAATGCCTCCCTTGGTGAAGAAGGTTATCCCTCCAGAATTTACTTCAAGATCACGTGTTGCAGAGTAATCTTGTTCTGAGTAAGGCACAGCTTGAACTCTTAACAGTTATGCTCCCCAGAAGAGTAAAGTGTGGGGGGAAGGGAGGAGGAGCTTTTCTTTCCTCAGAGCATGTTAGCAAATATAGTTGCAGGCATGAACATTATATAGCTATAAATCAGTTCATGCTGGAAGAGTACCCTGCATTTCCAGGCTCTGGAAATTAATGTTTCCTGGACAACGTTCATGTGTGTGTTTAAGGTTGTTCCCCGTCTTTCCAGTTGCGGTATCCAGAGAAACTGCATTTCACTTCTGATTTCATGTCCAGAAAGAGAGAAACTCCTGAATGACAGAAACATGATGTTTATTACTTGAGCAAAAAAGAGGAAAAATAACCACCAGTCTTCCAGTTTGTCATTGTTTCAGTATCAGTTAGTGCTGGAGGCTCTGTTCTTGCAAAACCAGATAGATAACAGCAGTGAATCAAGTGTAGGAAGTAACAAATCTTAGTCTGCTGACATTGCTTTTAACTCTTGTTATTTACCAAATTCCCCTTTCTTGGTATCTTGAGTAGTGCCATAAACAAAAATTTTTCTTTGCAGCTTTGGCATAACCTTTTGTGCAAAGAAAGCAGAACTCGTATGTCAGCTTCCTGCTGCTGGCTTTTCCATAGCTCTCCATGGTGCTCTGATATTTCCCATCTGGAGCTCTTCTAAATTTTTGCAACTCTGCAAGTCTTTAGTCATGACAGCAACAGCATTAGCTGCACTTGGCTCAATGAACTTCAGAGAGTATTTGCTTTAGAAAGAGCACGTGAGCTGGCTTGTTTTATGCAGAGAACTGGAAAAATTTCACGTCCTCCCTTAAATTCTTTCCTCACTTGCTTGTTCCTTCTTTCCAGGGCCTCTGTTCTAGCGACTGCCCCATCCATGCTGGAGGACAGGCAATCTGAAGTTGCTTTGTCTTTATAGTGTCCCCTGTACTTCTCCACCAGCGTCTTGGGAGGGAGAGAGGAAAGGAAGGAGGGGAAGGGTGAGAGTTTGAGCGCTGTTACCAGCTTCTCAAAATGTAGTTTGCCATGGCACCAAGAGAACCATGGTTTGTTACTGAGCAGTGCATGAGAACTGCTTAGTAGCCAGACATGCCTTACTCTAGATACTCTTAATACTCCTCCTCCCCCTTCAGTTCTCCTTCTGGGAGCATGGGGGATAGTGAGTAGTCACCCCTGCTTGTTGAGAAGGCAGCAAGACTTCTCTTATCATAGAAGATATTTTTCTCCTCTAAGTTCATGTTTGAAAGGTCACTCCCCATTAATTTCTGCAGAAAATAATTGTTGGCACTAGAACAGGACATTGAGGTGGCACCAACCCTTTACACTCCGTGTTTGAGGGGAGCAGGGTGGGAAAGGACATGAGAAAAGGAGGAAATTCAGAGTAGAAGTAGCTGCAGTCAAACTGACCAGGCACTCTGGAACATCCCAGCCATTCAGATGGGATGTTGCTTTTCCCCTTGCTCCCTACCTGTGCTGCACTTTGCAGCTGGAATATCTGGTAAATGACTGAGGGCAATGCTGATTGGAGGGTCTGGCTTTGTCCAAGCAGGGAAAGACATGGGAAAGAATGAATTAAAACTCTGTGGTTTCCTTTCACCAACAATTGATTTGTCTTTCAGGAAAAAGCTGTCTAACTTCTTACACACGCAGAACTGGAAAGGTGCCTATAACTATGTTGCCAAGCAATACATAGAGAGTGTGGGCAGGGATGTGTATTTTGAGGATGTCCGACTTCAGATGGAAGCAAAACTCTGGGGAGAAGAGTACAACCGGCACAAGCCACCAAAACAGGTACATTCAAAGATCTTGCTAAGCAAAAGGTACAGTCTTGCTCTCCTGTTAAATTAGTTTTCAAGTGAATTTAGAGGGAATTACTTGTTTGCGTTCCATTAAATGTAATTGTTTAGACAGATTCTTCTGCCCTACTGTGTTTTCCATTAAATGATAGCTGATTTTTAATGAAGTAAATACAGAAATTGCTTTTTATTTCCAGGATTGGGGGCTGTGTGTTTGTGAATGTATGACTATTCTCAGCTGTTGACTGAAGAATCAGATAAAATGGTGCTTGTATTGCTCTTTTAGATATTTGCCCAGCTGCTTTTGAGATAACCAGAGATGTCACAGAATTTATTGCCAGCAGCAGTCTTGGCAAGCATTTAACTGTTAGTGCTCCAAGAATGTAGATGTTTAAATCTTGTAAACCTATATAAGCACCTAAAGTAGCATTGATTTTTAAGAAGACCTGGAAACCTGAATGAATGAAGCCATTCAAATACAGATTTCTGAGGAGTGATCAGAAATTTTACAAAAAATGAAGATACTGTGGCTTTGATTCCTTCAGGTGTCTCGGTAACAATATGAGCACATTGTATTAAGTGCAAAGCATGAAGATGTATGAAACTCTCATGTGGGTGAAATGTCAGACTAGGCTCACTGGATCTAGAGAAATTCCCGTCCTCTGTGCTAGGAATGTGCATGAACACATAGGATTCAGGGAGAGGTGGTTCTGTTGCTTCATTGGCTGTATTTCTGGTCCTGGAGTCCGTGCTAAACATTATGTACAGCCAACATAGCTTTGTCCTTTTCCATGGTGATAGGCTGGATAGCTGCTGGTCGAAGCTGCCATTGCATCCTGGACAAAAGCATCTCCAGCAGAAATTAGCTTGTTAAAAATCAAGAAACTAAAGTGCAGGGATGAAGGACTGTAACTGCCACTCCCATACTCACTCTTAGTTGAGTATGTCCATGGTGTGTATCAATCAAGTGTCAAGTCCCTTTAATCCACAGCTGGTACTGACTGTCTGAATGTAACTATGACTTAAAGTAAGTGGAAAAGGCAGCTTGAAGGGTGCTGAGCATGCACTGTGGTATCTTGGTACCTGCTTTTGGCTCTGCCACTGATGGAGTGTGGCATGTAACAAGATGCTTGGGTCAAGAAGAATTCCTCAGTATCGGGGCCTTAACAACTAAATAGCCAAAATGAGCGTTTTTGTGAAGTATGTTTATTGCCTCTCATATGAGGTTTAGCTAGTAACTATCAATCTCGTAACAGCAAGGTGAGGTACAGAGTAGAGTGTACAGAGAGGACTCTAGAAATCTAGAAGTTTTAAATGCCATATTGGAAAAGATGTAAACAAAACGAGAGTTGTGATGCTTTCTCCTTTAGGAATGTGTCTGGGACAGGAAGGAGGTGAGGCAGGATACAGCAATAGCTGAATGATAGATGTCTTCAGTCCATCTCTGAAAAGGGATTTATTGAAGTTGTGCAGTAGTTACTATATGTTCTACTCTCTTGGCATAGACTTTTTGCAGGACACTCTTAAAGTACCCACAAAAATAAAATAGAAAGCCAACCTTACTAAGCGTTTTTGAGAAGGATGTGTGGCAGAACTTCTGCAGAGCTGTTTTGTAGTGACTTCTTTCTGATTTATGGAATCCCTCCAATAACCCTAAGCAGCACATGACTCTTCCCCACCCCCTTGATAAACAGACAGATCTTTGCAATTGTTCAACTTCTTTCACTGGGAAAGTTTTCACAGCTGGCGGATTCACACACACTTTGATCTGAACACGGTATTCTATTACTCATTGTTTATCTTTTTTCCCTCCCCAGGTGGATATAGTACAGATGTGTATTATTGAAATGAAGAACAGACCTGGAAAGCCTCTTTTTCACCTGGAACATTACATTGAGGGCAAATACATAAAATACAACTCAAATTCTGGATTTGTGCGAGACGACAATATTCGTCTTACCCCACAAGTAAGGCTTTGTTTAACGCTTGCCATAGAGTCTGCTACAGGGAATTTTTTGGCTCCATCTAGAGGTCTTGCCTTGCTGCCAGGGAAGGAAACTGCAGGCTTGCCAGTACAATGCCAAATTATTTTCTCTTTTTGCAGTATGTCTGCCCCTTATTTGGGGCCTGCTCTTTCAAGTGGCAAGTGCTGCTTCATTGCATTTCAGTGTCTGTTGATTTTAGTAGAGTTGAACATGGATAACACTCTGGAAACATTAAGTGCTTTGACTCTACTTCTAATTGCAGGAATCAAGGTATTTCAAACTCTTCAAATTAAGGCAGGGAGAGAGACCTGCCATGTACTATGTACTAAATAGTCTTCTGGTGCCTCATGTAATATACAAAAGGAGGTGGCAGATATCCAACTTGTATAAATAAATAAACTAGTCCATTTGCGCACAGAATCTGTTTTGGGTGGTTTTTTTCAGCTGCAATCTCTGAATAGGTGAATCTGAGATTACATATAGAAATAAAAGTACAGATTTCAAGTGTTTCTTGGATCTCATAAAAGAGCTTTACTGGCAAATGAATGCAAAGTGGTCACCATAGCAGAAGAGTGTTTTACTGGGGCTTGAGGGGTATTTGTTGTGATGCTTAACGTAAGCAGAGGGTTTATGTTCTGGCCTGTCTTTTGTACACTGAATCAGTGCTATGCTTTCCCAGGTTGGGAACAAAATGTTCCATGGGACTTGCTGCAGTTAAAATGTTTGTCTATCACCACCAGTCACCTCCTCCAGTCTTGGCAGCGCTTTTTTGGAGGCCTTCCCAGAAGATTCCTAATGTCTCAGCTTTGCGCCAAAGAGAAGGGCTTTTTATACCTGATTCTTGAAATGCTGCACTTAAAGAGTACAAATGTGGATTTCATTATCTGACACACAAATGTGGAGCCAGATCAGCTGTTCAGGGGACCTCTGAGAGGGCATAGTAAGGGAAGGAGAATATGCGGGGATGCACGATTTTTTGGTTTTGTTTGTTGGTGCTTTGTTGTTTGTTGGGGTTTTTTCCTCTCAAAATGTGGCAGAGCTTTGCTTGTTGGCAGAAGGAAGCAGAATGCCAGGGCTGCAGAGCTTGGAGATCCACAGGCACAGCCAGGAATTTTATGCAGAAGATATTCTGCGGCTTGCTTCAGAGCCTACTATTGTTCACTCTGCCAGGCAGCTCCCCACTTAAGGTGAAGACTGTAGCAGAAAACAGAATCTCAGGAAGGAAGAATACAGTGATCTCCTCTCCCTTGCATGTTTCCCCTGCTGCTTTTCACCCTAACTCTCTTAGCCCATCTCCAAGTGGGCACAGGTTGGAGAAGCAATTTACTACATGCTTTTAATCTCATTGCTTGCATTATGATGTTTATACCAGTTATATTTCACTAATACAGTTACCAGACCTCTTTGCCCATTTGTAAGTGGTCAATAGGTGTTGCTGTTTTCAGTAGATCAAAGGAGAGTTTTCTCAGGTGTCTTCTATGGTTCTTCCCAGGCCTTTAGTCACTTCACCTTTGAGCGCTCGGGACACCAACTCATTATTGTTGACATCCAGGGCGTTGGAGATCTTTACACGGACCCTCAGATCCATACAGAGAGTGGTACAGATTTTGGGGACGGCAACCTAGGTAAAATCAATAATCCTGTTTCACATGCTCATGGATGCTTATTTTCCTAGCTGTCTGCTCAGTAGCCACCACATGGCTGAGTGAGCAGGCACATTTCTGAGGGTCTTGCAAACAGCTGGGGAAAGTCTGTTGTAAGGAGTGCCTGAACAGGGTAGCTGTCATGCAAGGGCAGATTTAAAATAAGAGTTGATCTTTGCTCATGTCTCTTGGCCTACTCTTAAGCAAAACAAGTAATTACATTAACTACCTTCCTGCAATGTGAGAGTATTAATCATGGCCTTTAATTTTGTGGAGAGATATGCATATTTTTAAAGCTGAGGTGTCCATACAGGAAGTTGTTCGTAGGAAATAGCAAGTTTTATAAGCAGAATCTAATTTAGATACCTTTTTCAATGATGCACCCAAATTAAGTTTTTTTTATACCATCATAGAATCATAGAATGGTTAGAGTTGGAAAGAACCTTAAGATCATCTAGTTCCAGCTCCCCTGCCAGGGGCAGGGACGCCTCGCACTATACCATGTTGCCCAAGACACTGTCCAGCCTGGCCTTGAACGCTGCCAGGGATGGAACATTCACCACTTCTTTGGGCAACCTGTTCCAGTGCCTCACCACCCTTTGTCCTGTGCATACATGGCTTTTGAAGATATTGCAAACTTCTTTTAACCCTCTTCAGAGAGAATGAAAAGTTCTTACAGGTGTTAAAATAAAATGGAAGTATGTTGAGCTGTGTGCTACAAAGCACTTTCTTTCTCTTTTGACTTTTTAGAAAATGCTTTGGGACTTCTAGCTTTTAAATAAGTGAACTGTTGTATAAACTTTAAATAAACCCTTTCTTCTCTTCTGTTTCTTTTCAATGCTGTAGGTGTTCGAGGTATGGCCTTGTTCTTCCATTCTCATTCCTGCAACAAGATTTGCAAAAGTATGGGGCTTGCACCATTTGATCTTTCATCCAAAGAGAAAGATGCCTTGGATTGTAATAGAAAATTGCTTGTAAGTGCTTGAAGCAAAAAGTGTAGCTAAGCAATATAAGTGGTTTATTCTGACATTAAAAACACTGTAGATAAAACTGAAATGTGCTATTTGCATGGCAGATAAAATCATGTGAATCACTAATATTGCAGTTTAAAGCTGATTTATCCATAGTTGTCTCTGAATTAACGCTGTAGTTTTAATTAATAGGGAACCTTATAACACGTAATTTAGGACCAAGTATATCTTTGAATGCAGAAATCATTAGAAAGTTTGGTATCTTGCAAACCTAATTTGGAGAGAACAGAAAGAAAAGAACTGCTCATCTTCAAATGATCTTGGTTTCAACTGGTATTAGTGGGAGTGGGACTTGATGAAATAATTTGAATGACATTCAGTCCTAAACAGAACTCTCTCTAACTGTAACAATGCCAGGACTTGGTATTTTGTTAGGGTGTAGAACTTGTCAAAGCAAATAGTTACATATAAATGTACGTATTTATACACCCTCTTTTGTAGAGGACTCCTAATAAGCATTCACATTGTCTTACGTAGCATGCTTAGAATACAGAGAAGCACCATTCATGGGATTTTTCTTGTTAATTTGCCAAGGAATCCGCTCAAACAATTCTCCGTGGCACAGAGGAAAAATGTGGCAGCAGCCGGGTGAGAACACTCTCTGGTAGCCGACCCCCTCTGCTCTTCCGCCTGTCTGAGAACTCTGGAGATGAAAGCATGAGCGATGTAGCATTTGACTCTCTGCCCTGCTCTCCTTCCTCAGCAACCCCTCACAGCCAAAAGATGGACATGCTTTGTGAGTAAGCCTCATATATAATTTCCTTGGGGTGGTCCTGACATATGACAGTGACTTGTTTTGTTTTATTGGTTTTAAACACAACAACATGTGGTATCTAGTCTGGAATACTTGTCTCTGGCATTCCTCTTGGAGCAGAAATAAAACCAAAAGTACTTTCGTGTAGATAATTAATGCACAGATGCTTCTATGCAAAGACTGTGGTAAAATGATAGTGTTCAGTTTTCTCCTCAAGCATGTTATCCTTACAGTAAGAAACAAATATTTTTCTTTCTAGGTTGGCCTGTGTTCAATGAAGTAGATAACCTTGTTCACAAAGACTATGATCAGCTTGATAACCAAAGGGTGAGTATCTGTCCAACAGAGAATGAAATTGCAGTTCCTCAATGAAGGTGTCTTTAAAGAACTGCCTGAAGACTTTGTTCAGTTAGAGCACATAAAGGCACTCTGCTGGTTTTCAATGCTGCAGCTCACGTTATCTGCATTTGCTCTTTCTAGTAAAGGCAGAACATGTTATTTTAAAATAGTACTCATTATTTTTTTTTTCCCTCCAGGTATTTATTTACATCTGATGTATTTTGACAGATAATTAAAATGTCTGTTCCCCTGCCAGTGTGTTGTGTTTTTGGCACTTGTGCCAAAGCTAAACAGAATCCCCACTGATCAGGTCTCCGCAAATACTGGTACTGTGGGATATTAAAGAACCTCACTAAGGAGACTGCAATAAGTTTGCAATGGGAATTTTCCAACACTAGAGCCTTAGTACCAGGGACTTTCAGTTACTGTTTTATCTTTTAACTGGCTGCCACTGAAGACTGAAATCTATATGAAGTGGAATCTTGATTTGATAAAGTACGTGAGTCCTGGATTTTTTTGTGTGATTCTAAGAACACAGAATTGGCAGTACCTTCGGGACTATGAAGTCCTGTTCTGTCTGTCAGAGGTAGGGCACCATACAATCATCCAGTATATCTTTCCAACATATTGAACCAGCAGTAGGTTTTCTCTGGGAAATGTCAAGCTGAGATCCTTACAAAGGGTAATGTTAATGCTGTGATGTTTTGTTCTGTTCTTCTGTAGGATTGTGAAAATGGTGGAGACAGTGGATATCCCAGTGAAAAGAGAAGTGAGCTAGAAGATCTGGATCATAGAGAGAGGGTAAGAACCTGGGTTTAGCAGAGCTGAGCCTGTTCATACTTGAATTGTTTCCATAGAAGAATCTTATCTTTTATTCCTTCTTGATCTAAACTTTGTAGAAAAACAAAACAATTTGTAAAGAAATTCCCACATGTTGTGGGATTACTTATCTGGAGAATGTTAGTAATACTTTAACAAGAAAAAGACCATTTGTGATAAGGAGACGTTCCATTTGATTGCATATTGTTGTGGGTTTTTTTAAGTGTTCTGTATTGCATTTGAGAAATGTAGCCAGCTGCTCGTCATATGGAATCCATAAATATGTTCTGTATTCAGACTCTTCTACGCTCTCTACTTTCTGTGACTTTATATGGCTTGAGATATTACAGAACTTAATGTTGCTGTCAGTTAATAACATGCAACTTTAGAATTCCTGTGGGTTAACGGTTACTCCTTTAAAATACAGACTTTTAAGTAAATGCTTTTTTGACCTGAAGATCTTGACCACATCTTTAATTAGAAGATAGAAAAGAGAATGCTGCTTCCAAAGATACCACTCCATTTGTCACCTTTGAAGCAGGAAGGTATTTGTCATGGGATACCCAGTTTCCAGAATTGAAAAGTGGGTGTACCGTATGCACACCATTTCCGTATGCTTCTTTATATGTTGTGGTATTATATCACTGAGAGAAAAAGATTCAGTGGAAGCTATTTTGGTCATTGTCAATATAAATTTTGCTGGCTAGGAACAGTCTAGAGGGGTGAGTGGCACACATCAGTTGCTGCAAATAAAACAATGCAAATCTTTACATTAATGTAGGGCCATTCAAACAACAACCGAAGACATGAATCTGATGAAGACAGTTTGGGAAGCTCTGCAAGGGTAAATAATGCAGAAATACTCATAGACTTTAAGTTTGTCACTGTGCTTGTCCTTTTCTCCACTGCCATGTGACTTCACATCACTAATTCAGATACCATTTTTCTTTCCTTTTCGTCTACATAATGTTTATTAATATTAACTTACCACTCTGTGTTGTTTCCTTTTGTTGTTTTGTTTTTTATTTTCCATTTAAAGAAGTATCATTACAAACCATTTGTCATCTCTGTAACTGATCCCTGGCATAAATTAGTGATTATGCATAGATTTATCACTTAAAAAAAATAATTACAGTTCGGGGGGGGGTGATTTCTGCCTACCTAGATTATATTTCCTTTCTGCACTTTATTTTTGGAACTGTATCCCATATGTGGTTGGGTGATTGTTTAAAAGCATGCAGTGTTTTGAAATACAGTAGAGAGAGCTACTGTTATGTATTTCTAACTCAGCTAGGGAAAACCAGGCCTTCTTGTGTGTTTTACAAAGTAACAGCTTCTGTGATAGTTAGTTTCTGTGGCTATAAACTTAAATAACTCTATTAAATCCTATGGGTTTAAATGTTTTGTGCATGAATAAAACTCAGTGTTTGCAGTATGACTGGTTTGGGTGTTTGTTTTTGTAAGTACCTTTTTTTCTTATTCAGAACTTAAAGATCGTGCTTTGCTTCACTGCTGTGATTTATGGGAGATGATTGATGTAGAGATTAGAAACAGAGGGCTTTACTCTGTTTATTTAATGAAGAATAGTAACCATTTTTTCAGCTACTAACATGACTTTTGAAAGCCATGTCTTCAATTAGAGTATTTACTAGTAAGTAATAACATTAATGGTAGCTTTGACTTCTGGATGGTAATCCATTTGAATAGCATGGAAATTTTAATTATAAGTAAAATAACAGTATATTCCTATTTCAGATCAGTGTGGAGAAACTGAATCTGTACAACTCTAGAAGAGTCCACATCCACAGACCATCCTGTGTTGCCCAAGAAATTCAGAGGCTCAATGCACTAGAACTTGAAAAGAAAATTGGGAAGTCCATCCTTGGGAAGGTGGGATGGGTCTAGTAATTTTCTTTCCAACTGGAAAGAGGTATCTTGTATATATTACTTATGTGGAGGTGTTGCCCTGCATGAGTTATTTGTGCAGGTGAAAGCAAATAACATGTCTGTAGCTTTCTGTCACCTAATCATATTTTTATAAGGGACATCTAAGCCTAGGAACCCATGAATTCCATCTGCTTTTGGACATACAACATCTGGGTTCCTTTGGGAAAGACCCTGCTATTGGTTCTTCTGCCTTTCCCAAGGCATCACGCAGAGAAGATACACTGGGCAGATATGATGTGCATGACCCACATATCTTGCAAATAGGCAGGATTGGGCTTCTGAAAAATGGCAGCATGGACCAACTATTTTTTTTTTTTTTTTTTTTACTCTAGACTATCCCAGAAAATGTAAATGTGAATTAAGTTTGAGTTTATATATGGACTTAAGCACACACTCAAAGCACACAGTGTAGATCTTCGTGAACATTGTGAGAGCCTCAGATGTTCTCGGACCTTTTGGTTTGAGAAGAAACCTGTCTTTCCTTAAGGAGAAAAGATAAAAAAACCCTCAAAATCCTATAGTATGTTTGGAATAAAATCCTTCCCCTGTGACAATAATTACTTCAGTGGTATGAGGATATTTTCCTGGATAACCTTGATTTTTTTATATTTTTTTTTCTTATGCTTCAGGTCAATTCTTTTCTTGTGGTGGCCATTGCCGTACATAAAGCCTGTGACCTATATTCACTGCCATTTGCCCTGCTTGCTGTTGTGTTAGGCAGTTGCAGGCTGGGTGCCTTTAACTATGACTCCCTCTGAAAGGTCCCCAAGTCCCAAGGATATATGCTGGGCCATGCTCCTGAGATCTGGTGTTCTGGTGTGGCAACCTGCTGGTATGCTGTTTAGGGCACTACTCTTGGTAGTCAGGTTTATAAAGCTGCATGTGTCTAAACTTACAGAACTGGAGAGGCAGCTGCACTGCATGTAATCATCACTTTTTGCCTGTTTAATCTGTTCAGGCATAAATCAGGATCCAATCCTGTGTTATCAGACTAGTCCTCTGCTTAATCAGAGGTACATGATTAGGTTTAAGTAGTCACCTTGGAGAAGTATTTTTGTGCCTAAGTGTGGGCATAGGGCTCCTGAAGAATCGGGTCTATACTTAGTACTTGTGTCTCCTTCACAATTGTGTTCTAGGTTCATTTGGCCATGGTTCGCTATCATGAAGCTGGGCGTTTCTGTGAGAAAGATAAGGAATGGGATCAGGAGTCAGCCCTGTTTCACCTGGAGCATGCTGCAGACTGTGGGGAGCTGGAAGCCATTGTTGGGTTAGGACTCATGTGCGCTCAGCTGCCACATCACATTCTTTCTGAGGTCACTCTTGAGGTAAACAGAAGGATCAAAGAAAATGCCAAAATGTAGAATTGTGGTCCATTGTAGAAATACTATAACAATAGGAGGAAATAGAGACAAAATAATAACCACAGTTAGGTATTTTGTAGCCTCTTCAGAGAAAATAGATGATGTTGTAATTAAAGACTTGGGCAAAGCAGCAAAAAAATGCTGCCTGTTTCTGCTTTTGCCAGCAGATTACTGTATACCTTTCGGAAGTTTCTGAAGTGATCTTTACTATTCAGCTTCAGTTTCTTTTGGCTGGGCCTCTTTCTCAGACATACTAAATACTTACAGCCATTACTGACGTGGAGAAACTTAGAAACGTGCATTTTAAAGGTTTTGTTTGTTCTACTAGGACACAAAGGAAAACAGGAATAAAGGATTTGAGTACTTGCTGAGAGCAGCAGAAGCTGGAGACCGACCTTCCATGATTCTGGTAGCAAGAGCATATGATACAGGTGTAAATCTTGGTTCAGACAGGTACTGTGCATGACTGAGTAACTTGGTGGAAACTCCACTGAGGGGGGAGGGCAATCAGAGAAGCACTTGCTGTGTGTCTTTCATTCACATAAATAACTGTTATGTCAAAAGTAATGCTATGAAGTAGTGTGTTGGAGTTACTTCAAACTTGAATTACCCAGGTGTGAATAATACTGAACAAACTTGAAAATCCTGGGATCAGTGGAAAAAACACAAACACAGGCGTTCTTTTGGAGATGTAGTACCCTAAAAGTAAGTTAAAAGTGTGTATAACTGCCATGTGTCCTCCTTCATGATTTTTTGAAACCACTTTTTTTGCTGTGAAAGAAGCTGTGGGACAGGAGAAATAGGTGCAGCCTTAAAGTGACTATAGATAAGCCGCAGTCAGATGAATGAAGTATCTGTCGTAGTTGGAGTCTTTCACTGCTGCTTGTAATAGAAGTAGGAATGGAAATCTCAGAGGAACGTGGTCTTAATGCTGAGGATGTTACTTTTAATTAAGGATGATCCTAAGTTTTAAGAAGTTTGAAAATGCTTTTACATCATTAAGTCACTTGATTTGCCCAGCACTCCTACCTTGACAGGAGCAGTATTGTGACTCAGAACTAGATCGTGACTTGCTGAAAGGCTATGCAGTATGTTGGTTTGATAATTTATTTTGTTCTAGCATTTTAGGTGAGTTTCTAAAACTGAACATGTATTAATTTTGTTAAGTACCAAATATACCAGGTGATGATAATGATTTTCCTGTTTTTGCAGTGTAACACATCTTTGTTATTTACATGAGAGTGTTCTGGTTTGCACAACAGTGAAACTCTTAGCAGTGGTGAAATTTAAAATGACATTAAACTTCCCACCGAAATGCACTGAGCGTTCTCAGTTGCTGCTTTTAAAATATTTATGAAACAAGACTCTCTGCAACTTCGGATTATTTCTAAATCAGTTATCTTCACAAATACAAATGCCAGACCAAACCCATACAACTAGTAAGGAAGCTCAGACAAGCAAGGCACTTTGGTCTGACACTTTCTTCTCTGTAATTACTGCATAAAGTGGCCCCAGCCTAGTTTTGATATAGTGAGCTCATGCTGCTGTGCAGTTAGTGAACCTGCTTGAAAATATTTGTGTTCTTTGAGAGCTTTAAGGCTCAGAGAAGCTAGTGCAAAACTAGCACTGACTCTCCAGTGCAAAATACATTTGTTTCCTACTGTACCCATCTTCAAAATGTGTTTTTAACTTCAGAGTACAGGATTGGAAGGAGGCACTGTACTGGTACAATGCTGCACTGAACATGACTGACTATGATGAGGGAGGTGAATATGATGGCACTCAGGATGAGCCCCGGTATCTGCTCCTGGCCAGGGAAGCAGAGATGTTAATGACAGGAGGGTTTCACCTGAATAAGGATCCACAGAGATCAGGTGAGGTCCTGTTTTGTTTCTGTACTCAGTAATCTTGCTTTTTGTTCCCTTTTCCCCCAGCATGTACCCCAAAAATACATTAACTGTTTCAGCTGTTAGAAAACATATTGAGGATCAATATCCTCAGATGTGTGGCTGAAGCTGTAATGATGCTGGGTTATGCAAGGCTGGAAAGAGATCTTGCCGATGATAGTAGTAGGCGGTGCCAGGTCCAGACCTGTGACACACTGAGTCACTAGCAAGCAACCTTCACTCTATGTCAGGCCACTGAACTGCAGGTTGCTGCTTGTATTTTGAGTTACACCCGTGACTCCCAGGCCCCACACAGCATCGGCGTAGTTGTGTAATCTGCGTGTCATGTATCTAAGCCCTAGAGTCATCTTGGGGGATCCTACAGGCCAGTTGTATTTCCAGACCTTCCAAATACATTGAAGAGCCATCAGCAGCCACTCATATAAGAAAGGCCAGATTTCCAGCTAATGTAACTCTACTGACGCTATTAAAATAGATCCATACATCAAACCCTTTAGTTTGACTTCAATTTCTGGTTTTGTCCTTTAATTGCTTCAGCATAAAGAGATGTTATTTCTTTACCCTGTCAACACAGCTGATACTATTTCCTCTTCTAGGTGAGCTGTACACTGAAGCAGCAGAAGCAGCAATGGAAGCCATGAAAGGCAAACTGGCAAATCAGTACTACCAAAAAGCAGAAGAGGCTTGGGCGATGATGGAAGAATAACACCACAATTAAGCAGTTCTTGTATATAATTATTTTATAGACTTGCTGCATTTGCAACTAAAAAGATGTATTTTTATGTGGTGTTACCAGTTTCTTTTTTGGTATTTTAGTTTTCTAATTTTTATTTTTGAGAGGGAAAATCCAACTGTAAGGAGTATATACAGTGCCATAGCGTACCTGGTGTTTGAAAGCTGTAATACAGGCACACTTGACCTTTTGTATTTTTTTAGCTTTTAGAACTGAGGGGCCTGATTGTTTTGTTTAGGTTTCACACGTCATTTTTACACAGCAAATGCTCAGTATGTTTACATTTTTCTTCTACTCCTCACACACAGAAAAAAAAAACATTTTCCTAAATTCTCAACATTTCTTCTTCATTTTTGGTGTCTCTCACTAAATTTGCATGTGAGTGTAAATTTTCAATTTAAGCATGCAACTACTCATTTTAATAAGTAGTCCCACTCTTTTCCACTGACGTTGTGGGCACTTCTGTTACTCTTTTGAAATGAATTCCAGGTAGAATCCTTACTGTGTGGGGAGGGGCAGGGAAGGTGCTTCTGATTGGTAGTGAGGATATTCAGGGTAGAATATGTTTTATTCACTACCCACATTGCATTTTTTACAATCAGAAAATGGCTGATGCTCCTGATGAGGTGACGCTCATCATTTACCTTTCTCTTTTTCACATTTTGCACCAAATAATAACCTAGTTACATAAAATTCTGATGATCTTCTGTGATATTTGTCCAATGATGTAAAGTACCAAGATCTGCAATATATGGATAACTTGAAGTTATGTTTACAGTGACATCTCAATTCTCAGTGAAGCTAGATCATCTCAATTAAAGTGGAAATATACCTTCCAGCATTTCCAGAGGGAGTTTTGAAAAGGTTAGAGGCTGTTGATTTACCTCTTTTTATGTATAGAAAATAATTTGTTTCAAATAGCTTTTAAATAGTGTTTTATCTGTGAATGGTTTCAAATGCCAGTTAGAGAAAATTGCTGGTTAAAAAGAAAAAGCAGTATTATCCCCACACACTTGATTTTCTGTGTCCTGTTTGCATAACCCTAATCAGTAATGGGAGGACAAATAAATGGTGGTAATTGAATTATTGTTTATAGAGATAAATTTCTTCCAAATCCAGTGTTTTATTCTAAAGCTGTTGTCCCATCTGCACAGTTAGTACCGAAGGTGTTCTATTTCTTGGTCATGGTTTACACTCATTTTGCAGGAGATTAAGATGGAAGCTTCTCGGCCTTACAGCCTCCTGACAGTGTAAATTGATATGAATAAGGAGCAGCCCCTCTGAAGTGCTGAATGACCAGTAATGCTCATCAGCCTCACTTAGCCAAGCTTTTAAAAGCATGCTTAAGCTAAGCAGGGTGCTAGATGATGCAGTTGATTTCATTGGGATTTCTTGCATGCATAGCCAAGTAATATTAATTTCTTGTAAAATGTAGAAACCATTGGAGGAACAGAAATCAGTTTGTCCTTTCCTACGCGAGTGCCTGTCATTGGGCTCCAAAGTTGCACTCCCCATTTACTCTCTCTGTCAAACAGATCATAGAATCATAGAATGGTCTCAGTCAGAAGGGACATTAGAGATCATCTAGTTACAAACCCCTGCCACCAGCCAGGCCACCTTCCTTTGGACACCTTTGGACTTGATGATCTTAAAGGTCTTTTCCAATCAAATCAATTCTGTGATTCCACCAGACCAGGTTGCTCCAAGCCCCATCCAACTTGGCCTTGAACTGCCAGGGATGGGGCAGGCACAGCTTTTCTGGGAACTTGTGCCAGTGCCTCACCACCCTCATAGTAAAAAACTTCTTCCTAATGTCTAATCTAAATCTAGCATCTTCCAGTTTAAATCTTCCATTCCCCCAAGTCCTATCACTACGTGCCCTTGTAAAAAGTCCCTCTCTCTATTTCTCATATCTTGAATTGTCATTTAAACAATATTTAAGCATGATGTTAATGTCTGAAAGAGGCTATATCCTGGTGGTAAGTGAGATGGGAAGAGCTGAATCCTTTCTAGGAGAGAAGAAGTTATCCTTGGATGTTGGACTTCTGGGTGGATGCTGTAACCCCTGCCAGTTGCAGCTATGAGTAGCCTTGCAACACATGGCCACATTTTCTTGCATATGGTCTTTCTATTTTGGTTTTGTTTTATATTTAAAGGTGAAAATCTCCACCCATTAATGGAGGAATGTTTAACTTCTGGATCTCAATTTGGCTTAGATTTTTTGACCTAATAAGTTGAAATAGAACCTCAGTTTGTAGGATCTCAGGTCAGATGGATGTTCTAAGTGCCTAGCTAAAGTTCTGCTTTAGGTGCCTAAAGCCTCTTTTGGATGTGGCCTTTTTGCTCTTCAGCTTGTAACATGAAAATACCAGCTCTTAATGAAAGGTGAAGGTGCCATTTCCCTCTGAAGACAGCTGAATAGTCAGTGATTTGTGCAGAACTGATACAGTGTAGACATTATAAAAAAATTCAGACAGATCTGTTTTCCTCATGAGGTGTTGCTGGCAAGTCTTTGAGATATTGCTTGAGAAGGAAGCATGTGTAACAGCAACAACCACCATGTAGAGAACAGGGGAGATTGAGTATGCCCATCCAAAATGTGTGCATAAAGGGCATAGAATGTAATTATTTGCACTTTTTTATGTAGTTTAATTTGCTAAATTCAGTAGTTGCTGACAGCTGTCTGTAGATCTGGTATGTAAATGTGGACACAGCTCAGTGGAAAGATTATGATGATTAATTCTTTGTGGCAAATACATTTTTAGTGATTCAGACTACCTTCTGCCCTAAAGTGGTATCATATTTTTCAGCTGTACAATAAACAGAATTGACAGATAATTTGCAAATAGAAAATGTTTACAGAAATATGCACAACTTCTGTGACATTCTTTAGAAGAGAAAAACTATATATTTGACAGGCTCCTGGAATGATATTGCTATAATGCTTTACTTTTAATCTATTCACAATGAATAAATAAAAATCTTGTATTTTTAAAAAAGGTGAAAATAAATCTGGGGCTCAGCCTGCCGGAACTTACCTGGGTTCAGTGTTTCCAGATGGCAGTGGAAATAACTGCCTGGGTAAGGAAAGGGAGATGGAAGCCTTTGTTTGTATGTCAGACATGCAAATACCAAATCACCTGCATCACTTAGTCCTCTCATTGACTTTGGTTTCATTCTGGCTGGTCAATAAAGCTGTTCTTTTTGTCACTTTTCTCAGTAGAGTTTTAGTTACTGCATGCAGGGGGTCGGTTTTGTGTTTTCCTTTATAATCTGCCTAAATTCAACCTTACTATTGCAAGCTTCCAGAAACCCTCTGTGGAGTTTTAATTTTTTCATCTCTGATTTCATTTGCTTTTAACAGTCAAAAGTAACTAACTGGAGGCAATAACTAGATGTGTACCTGAAAAAATCTGTTTTCCTCAAGAAAACTTAAGTGGTTGATGTGCTGTTTTATTTGCATTCAATTACACATGCATGTCTGTAAGTGATATGGCAGATATAAGGACTGAAGCGTTCATTTGCAGGACTGCTGTAGAGGCATCCTTGTGCCTTCAGTCTTTCTTTGGACCTGCTAAAAGACTAGAAATACCTGGCCTCTTAACGATTTAAGGTGGGGGAGCTTTTGTCACAGCTACAGTATCTGATATCCTGCTGTTATCTTCATTGTGATCTATTCCCCTTTCTGTTCAAGAATAAACTTGTCTGTCTGATACTGGCCCTTTTAAGCTGTTAAAAATCGAGCTCTTAATGTTGCTTTTTTATTGCTTTATTTAGACAGGTATAATTTCTTGTATAGATTAAACAATGTGAAACTGTTCTGTAGCACAGGCACTTTGAAATAGGAGAATCTCCTAACAAAAAAAGGGCCTCCTTACTCTAGCGTCACTAAGGTGAAAAATGGTGACATTTGGTACTTTTCTTTAGCTATATCTGCTATAACTGGGAGATGGAGTGTTTGGGAAGTGTAACAAAGGAAGTGGAATGACATCCATCAGACAGCATAGGGACAGCCAGAACTTACAGCTCATAAAGTGATATTGCCTGTTTTGTCATTATTGGTTTATGGGACTGATTCGAATCTCTCTTGCCCACAGGTATGCTTTCACTTCTGAGAGCAGAATGACTGCTGACAGACACAGGTGTAGTTTAGGTAGGCGAAATCATCAGGCTTTCTCATCTTAATTTTAAAAGGGAGGATTTCACTGGAACCTCAGATTGGATTCAGGGCCAGTGCTGCTGGTGGTGAGTCAGGCTGTGAGCAGGTTTAAGTTCCAGGCATCTCCCATGTGCCTCCTACTACTGGGGACCTGAACACCTTATGGGAACAGCTCATGGGTTTGTAACCATCAGGCCTGGTTCTTGGTCTGGACCCAGTTGATACAGATGTTGGCGCCTTGCTGTTCTCTGGCTAACTCCTGTGCCAGAGAAGCAATACATTGAGGCTGATAGAAGTTCACTCTGTTTTTAATTTGGAAAAGGTCCTGTAATTATCTTACTTTGCACTGATAAAATGAGAACTCTGGTGACCCAACTGCCAGCCCCAAGGGGCAGACTGTGCTCTTACCCCTGTAAGTGCCACTCATGGCTGACTTGAATAATCTCGGGTGCACAGGCTTCCTCCAGCAGTGAGGAGAAGCGTCTCTGTGGCCAGGCACAAACATTTCCGGGACAGAGGCTGAGTGCATCCGTGGATGGCACCCATCACTTCTCTGGGAGGGTGTTGGTACTTCTCACTGCCTGGGCAAAAGGACCTGTGAGGCTGAGCAGCCTTTGTAATAAGAAAAGCACTTTTAAGATGTGTGCCATGCAGCTTCTCACGTGCATAATCTCCCTCCCATCGAAAGTGCAGTGCTGCAGATGGTACCCTATGTCCACGCTGCCTGGACAAGAGCTTAAAGACTGCTTAATCAGACTCTTTCCTGACCTTTTCTGTCTGAACAGAAATTTGTTGTGTGAAGCCAATTGGGGTCTGCTCCTCCCAAACCTCTCCTGCTTTTCTGCAGCCAGGGCTGTGAGAGGAGTCAGTTCCCTCTGTTCTTAGAAAACCCTGCATTCTTCTGAAAAGGCAGTGAACTGGGAGTGTGAAGCTGCATCAGAGCTGAAGAAGGATCCCCTTCACACGTGTGTGTGTGTGCTGTTATTTATCAGTGCTTTTGTAGGTGGTGAATGAAATTTTTATCAAGACTGTGCAAAGTTGCAGCCTCTTAAAATGTTGAAGGTGCTGAGGCCCTGGCACAGGTTGCCCAGGGAAGCTGTGCCTGCCCCATCACTGGCAGCGTGCAAGGCCTGGTTGGAAGGGGCTTGGAGCACCCTGGTCTAGTGGAAGGTGTCCCTGCCCATGGCAGAGGGTTGGAACTTCTTTGAGGTCCCTGCCACCACAAACCAGGCTATAGTTCTGTGCTTTGTGACCTCAGCTGCCTGGTGCCCCTTGGGAGTCTCTGTCTGCATTTTGTCTGAAAGTCCGATAAGTTTTCTTGAGGAATAAAAAGTTACCGTCTTGGTTTAAACCACGGCACCAGCCCAGCCTGGCCTCGAACACTGCGAGGGATGTGTTCCACTCCCCTTTTCATAACAGCTGTACTGACTGCTGCTGCTACAGCAGCCTGCTGTGCTGGGCCCTGTGCTGCAAATAAAACACCACCACGTCAATGGTGACGTCTGCTGATTTTTGCCTCTGCTAATTCAGCGAGTTGTAACTTTGCAGAAAAAAAAAATAAATACATCGGGTTTAGTATTTGTTCAGGCGTTCAGAGGGGGTGCCCAGGCGGTGCCCGCACGTACCGCAAACGCTGCGCCCTGGCATCCACGTGGCAGTGGGGCGGTCGGATCGGCCCCGGCCCAGCCCTGCCCTCAGCCGCGCCGCATCCCCGGTTCCCAGCGGGGCGCTGCCCCCTCCCAGCCCGTTCCCGATCGCAGCGCACCGCTGCAGTTACACCTGGTTGTAGACAGGGGTTGAAGTACCCTCCGTGTTTTAGTTTTGAGGTGGAAGCCGTGTGCGGCAAAAACTGCTGCTTCGGTTGTCCTCCTGAGCGGGAAAAGGCTTTGTTGGAGTATAACTGGTGGCGAAAAAATGCGTGATG